ATACCAGGTAAAGCTGGAATCCTCAGGGGGAGGGTGCACCAGAGTGCCCAGAGGAAGCAGGAAGGAAACGTTGGCTCAGTAGACATAGTTCCCAGAGCACAGTGGCAGCAACAAAACCAGTTTCCTTGTTTTCCAGATCCTTCTGTGACCGTCTGCCTGTGTCTTCATTGCATTTGTTCCTCAATGCCCAAGAACACACTTCTATGAAAGTGAGAAAGCATATCCAGTTTAATATTTACAACACACCTCTTTTCTTTTTGCTGCAGCCCTCAGTTAGGCATGAGATGGGGTCAGCTGAGTATGAGTCTATGTGGGGAGCTTCTCAAGCTGTCCATGGGCAAATTAAAGGGAAACATTTTGCAAGAAGCCTGTGATTATTTTATGACAGGTTTGCCAGGAACTTTGAGTACAGGATTCTGTCAGTAAAATTGTGATCAAGCCTTGAATCTAAGACCAGCATCCTTCAGGGAAGGAGAAATTCCACTCTTTTTGGCTATTCCCAAGGGCAAAGGTACATGACTACAGATGAGAAAACAGAAGCCCTCTTACACACGGCCATATCCTTGGTCCACTCTGCACGATGCTGCACGCAGCAGGAAGGCCTCTTTCTGATTGTGTCCTTCCAGTCATGCAGGCAAGCTGAAAAGATGCCTTCGCTGAGAAATGCCGGGCAGCAAACCATGCACAAAACAACGCACAGGTGTCTGTGTGGGTAGCAGCCTTGGCAGCCGCAGTGGCCCACGCATTGCAGGCACTGCCCTCCAGGGACAATGTGGACAGCCTCACAGTAACCCTTTGGCAATGGCCCACTTGACCAGGAGTTATAGCTCCCAGTTTCCCACTGAGGACCAACTGAAAGGCCTAAGCACGCCCTCTGCTCCATTCCCCCACCATGGACACCCCTGCTTCAGGGAGCTCTAGCAGCCATCTTGGGGGCCCACTGGGAGTTGTCCCTGCCCCAGGCTCTCCCTCTGTAGCAGTCTTTGGGACAGTGGTTGGATTTCTGGGACCTCTGGGGGCTCCTTGAGGGAGAGGTCTGTGTCTTAGTTTGAAGTAGCTGGGACTTCCCAAGTCGAGCAAGGGTACTGACATCCTACCTGCTGAGGCTCTGGGGACTATGGGCATCACTGTCTGGCAGACCAAGAATTGGCCATGAACCTGGTTCGGGAGCCCTGGACAGATGGGTCTGAGTACGTCCTGGGCAGCTGGCCGTGGTCATCTTGCAAAGCCAGTGAACCCCACCTAGGGCACAGGTCTCCGGCTCTGAGGCCTGGGACCACCTCTGAGGCCTCCTTGACACTGAAAGGTAAAGAGCATGTGGCCAGCCTGGCTTGGACAGCATGGCTTCCACTCGCTGCTGCTTGCCTCTGCCCCATGGTCTGTACCCACACTCATCCTAACAGAGTTCCAGGGCACCGACCTCTGATCCCCATAGCTCATCTGACCCCTGAGATTGGCAGCCAGGGTGTAAGTCCCTGCTGCCACAGTTTTGCCCACCATAGGGTCCTGAGCCCTGGCTGGACAGGAAGCATGGGAATGCTCACTGGACGGAGTGGGAGGCTCCTGTCCACAGAGGGCCTCCTGGGAGTTAGGGCTTCACTTGCCAGATGTGCAGTGTCAAGCTTAGAAATTAGTGGCTGTTGGTGGTGCGCCTGTGATTGCTGTGGCAAGCTAGGCCCTGCCATCTCCAACCTCAGGGCATCCCATGCCTGCCTGTGTGGTAGTGGGGAGGGTGGTCTGGAAAGACCTCCAAGGGCCCGTGCTGAAGGTCTGTTTCGCATGCCTCCTGGGATCCTCCATGCTATCCCACCTGACCCTATATGATCCCACACCACCACGTATGATCCTATGCAATCCCACAGGACCCCATATGACACTATGTGCCCCCTTACAACCCCACCCAACCTCGCCCAATCCTCCACAGTCTCCGCATTGCTCCCCCAGCCCCTACTCTCAGAGCCATCAAAGCTGCCCCGGACCTCCAAAACCATGAACCTTTCTCTGCCCTGAGCGGCTGTAGCCCCAGAGAAAGCCCTTGGAAATATATCTTGGATGTTTACGGGAATTCCAATGGATATTGCCTTCAAATTTCATAGTTTCGGGGGGTGGGGGGCAGCGTCATTTTTAAGTCTCAGAACAGATGCTGGGAGTGTGGGTGAAGCCTTGTTAGGGTGTCTGAGGTCATTCCCGCACACGATGACTTGACTGCCCTCCTGTGGGCTGGTCTGTGGAACTCATGGTGCATCACCGTCCCACACTCAGGTGGCAAACAGTAGCAGGCCTCCACATGCCGTGTGCATGGTGTGACACTCCGAGAGGACACGGCTCCCTCTTAACCTGTTGGGAGATGGCTTTTGGCAAGCTTGTTTAGAAATATGTAGGACCCAGTGCGGTGGCCTAATAGCTAAAGTCCTTGCTTTGTACATGGCAGGATCCCATATGGGCACCAGTTCTAATCCTGTCCGTCCTGCTTCCCATCCAGCTCTCTGTGGTCTGGGAAAGCAGTCAAGGATGCCCAAAGCCTTGGGACCCCGCACCCACATGGGTGACCTGGAAATGGCTTCTGGGCTCTGGTTTCAGATTGGTGCAGCTCCAACCATTGCGGCAACTTGGGGAGTGAATCAGTGGACGAAAGATGTTTCTCTCTGTCTCTCCTCCTCTCTGTATATCTGACTTTCCAATATTACTAAAATAAATCATTTAAAAAAGATGCGTTGGGGAACAACTGGCCAGTCGGCGTTCTGGGGCTGGGGGAGGCTGAGGGCGCTCTAGGATAAGGAACTGGAAGGCTGTGGACAGTTACGGAGCAGTGGGGGCCCCCGAGTGGAGACGGACACAGATGCAGACATGTGGTAATTGTGGGCCTGGGTAGACCACGGGTGTGCAGGGCATGGCGTGACAGGTGCTGTCCTGCGGGGCCACAGCAGGGATGAACATGGTCAGGACGCCAAGCCTCTCATTGGGGTTGTGGCCACTCTGGCTGGCCACGGACACACTCACATGCCCGGGACCGGCTTGGGTGGAGGTGCCCGCCCAGGACTTGCCAATGCCAGTCAAGACGCAGATCCAGGCGAGAGATCCCTCGTGCTACAAACGTGGCAACACCTTTTTTATTTAGATTAAGATGTGTTAACATCCAGCATGACAAAATTTGTACAAAGTTCACAATTTAAAAATGAATTATCACAGCAACTTGTGATTCCACACATTTATAGCAAAATTAAAGTGTCAACAAACCCATGCCGTGTCGTACAAAAATAAATCAAACTTCAGTTCCACAGAGAGCACAATAAATAGTTTATACAAAATTCTGTTTTAATAAATGGTTACTTAAATTAACTTAGAAATGAATATGAACAATAAGTTATAATAAATAAACTCTGATGACTCACAATAATCCCATATGAAAGGTCAGCATTCTAATGTGGGACACTTGTGACCCTATATAACAGTCACGGTGACTTCTGATTGGATATTATGGACCAACGTTACATGAGCAGCAGGTTGTGCTTCAAATCCCCCTTCCATTGTACATAGGTGATAACAAGAATCCAAAACGGAACTACCTATTACTCTACTAAAAGCGTTAATATATCGGCAAAAAAGCTGCAGACGACGCTGTGGGCAAATGCATATGCCGCTACGGACAGGGGCCCTCCTGGGGCCGGGCCCCAGACCATATATATATATATATATATACGTGTGTTTATGTATATAATTTATTTATATATATATGGCATTTCGTGACGTCGAGCACCTTGCTTCAGCTCTCGGAAGGCAATTCGGCGCGTGGCAGCTGCGGCTGATCGCACAGCAGAAAGAGGGCGCTGTACAGAGAGGACGCTGCAGAACCCCAAGTCAGGACACGCCCTTCCCCAGCTGGTGCTTCGAGTCCTCGCGGAAAACTGCAAGCTTTGTACAGTGAGCAGGATATAAAGTGCCGCTGGGATATACATCTCTTTGTACATATATATACCGAGGTTGAGTATTTTATCAGAGTATTTGTCGTGAGATCCCTGTAGTCTCCCTTAGCAACCGTCGCGGTCAGCCGAGTGGGCCTCCTCTATAACCATCCAGGTTCAGCGTCACAAGGAATTGCACACCTCCGTACGGATATAGGACAAGGGAAGTGCAAATAGTCGGCTGGCACATTGCGGGGACAATGACCCTGTAAGTCCTGTTCTGCTAAAAATATTTTTTTAATTTTTACAAAACCCATCTTTTTTATTTCATAACAAAATTTTGAAGTACTTTTGTACTTCCTGCATAACATCAAGACATGGAAGGAAGAGATGCTACCGAATGGAAATCAAGTCAACATCAGAAAACACAACACATCTTCGAAGGACTCCGCAGAGGACACGCAGCAGTCCAAAGCGGTCTTATGCATACATATAGTGCAGTCATTTGGAGTAAAACAATCAAATCTGAAAGGTACAAACAAGTCTAAGATGATCTAGTTTAAAGCAAAAAAAGTGCTGAAGTATATTTAGTTACTATTAAACTCTGATTGCATTCATTCTTAGAGTAGGTCACAGATTGACCAAGCCAGGCGCTGGGATTGCTCTACGGCCAACTGGTCTCCACCCCAGGGCAGCCCCTAAGCATCGTGGTGGGAGTGCTTGGTCAAAGTCACGCTTGGGGCGGGGGCTGGGCGAGAAATTCCACCAAACCCCTTTCTCACCAGGAACCCGAATGCTCACAGTCATTCGCCTTGATCCCTCAAGTGTGAAATCATAGCAACAACAAGAAGAAGGGGGCCTTTAAGTGTGAGGAGGGGAAATAAGCGCTCGTAAGCCATCTTTCCGCTTAGATGGAAAACCACACAGATTCTGGAAGGTGAGCTACAGTGCGAGAACAGACGGTTCGGGGGCACGGACCCTAGGGACATAAGAGAAGGCTGTTCCAGAGTTTATTGAAAATGGGAAAGGAGATCTTCGTGGCGTCCGCCTCTGACAAGCCCCTGTGCTAACAGCAGTGTCCACAGTCAGCTAACTGACAAGTGCTGTTGGAGCTGCTTTGAGTCTTCCGCCAAGTTTCCATGGCTTGATGTTGTCTTACAATAAATTACTTATTTCATGTCTTACAGTTAATCCACATGCCATTTCCTTGGAATGCAAAAAACCTCACTTACTGCCCCCACCATACACCATCCTCCTAAAACAAACAAACAAAAACATCACATAATATTTCCAGGCATTGTTCAAAAATAAAGCATTTTTTGCAACCAATTCCTGCTATGAAACAATATGCACACAAAATGTATTTCTTAAGTTCCATAAAAGTCCTCCAACATGAGGCAAAATGATAGTGTTTAACTCGTGGCCACAGGGGCCACGCCTGATCATCCACAGCTGTGGGTGTGGGTATTTTTTTCATTTTTTTCCTTTTTGTCCATTTCAGTTCAAAATACTAAAACATTTACTCACTAAAGCATTAAAAAGAATTTACACTCTATTTATTTTGATCCGCTTACCTCTTCAGAAATATATATACCCCCAAATGTGCATACAATAGCAGCTATAAACATTACATGGCATATCACACTATGTCAGCTTATATGAAAACGTACAAAATGTGAATGTATTCCAAAACTAGTCTGCAGGTACTATCCTTAAAGCAAGACGTGAAACCATTATGAAGTCTCGTAAGCATCACACTGGTTCAGACAGGAATGGATATAGAACGCTTTCTGGTAAGTTACAGCAGCAAAACAAGAGGCATCCTTTGCTCTAGAGCAGCTGTTCACACCTGAATTCCTCTCACAGCCTGCTTTATATTTTCCAGTAGGGCTTTATTTTCTGGACTCTGATAACGGTCTTGATTTGTATACATTTCCGTCAAAGTAGTCACGTAAGCATCAAAATTTTGTTCATTGATTGGATCCTACGAGATATTAAATAGTAGTTCATACACAGCTTTTACTTTCTTAATAGTATATTCACACAAGCATAACACAGTATCATAGCGCAGTGCCACTGTTCTCATCTTACTGAAATGGCCCAGTCAGAGCACACTCCGCTGGATGGGCTCGCTTACAGGGTGCTGGGTGGCGCCCAGGGCGCGCCCCGCGGCCACCGCGCTGTCAGTCACTTACCATGTGGGGCAGCTGGATGTTGGCCAGGCTGTGGATCAGGGACTGGCTGAGGTTGGCCAGCTCGTGCAGGAGGGACTCATTCTGCTGCTCAATCACCTTGTTCTCCTCCTCGATGCTCTTGAGGTTGCTCTCCATGGTGGTGATCTGCAACAGACAGCGCCATGTGGCCCCAGGCGCCTGGCAGCCAGGGGGCCTGCGCGTGGGCACACTTTTCCACGCCTTCTGTTAGAGCCAACTGGGCCGTGGCAGTGCCCACCTCCGCCAGCGGGACTGGGGGAGGGTATGTTGGCTTTCGGTCTCTGCGGGGCACGGCGGTTCCCTGTGCTTCCCTACTCCCTCCGCTACCTGAGGGGGCTGCACTAACAGTGAGTCTGCATCGTGTCCATCCTTAAGAACTTTGTTTAGCCCAGACCTAATCCCGCTACAAGGAAGCCAAGGCTGACTCCCTTAGGGGCATGGCACTGTCTGTCTCACACTGCCAGCAGGCCCTGGGGACACACCCATCAGGTCTCGGAGATGGGGTGGGGGCCAGCACGGCTTTCTGATGCCAGGGCTCAGGGAGCCGCTAAAGGGTGCCAACATCAAGAGTTTGCAGGGCTTGACGTGTACGTGAGGCAGTGACTGCTGGGATGTGGGGCCATGTTCCAGGCTGTGCCTGGGGCTCTGCCCGGGCTCTGCCCAGGCTCTGCCGGGGTGTGCCTCCTCTGCCTCTTGCAGGAGTCTCTCCCTCTTCTCCCTCTGCTGCTGCAACTGCCGTGTTGCCTTCAATGCCACGGTTCCCACCTTTTCCCTGTCACTCGAGCCGGGCCCAGCCCCTCAGGGTGGGCCGACGGGGTGGGGAGGGCAGCACGTTCTCTCGCACATCCCGATGGCTTCCCTGCCTGTGTTTGTGCTGTTGGCTTAATTCTTTTTAAATTGCTTTTGTTTCATTTGAAAGACAGAGAAAAGAGAGGTCTTCCATGTGCTGGCTCGCTCCCCAAAGGCTGGAGCCCAGGCCGATGCCAGGGCCTGGGACAACATGTGGGTCTTCCCCACAGCTGGAGGGACCCAACACCTGGAGCCCTGCCCTGCTGCCTCTCAGGATGTGTGTTAGCAGGAAGCCGGTGTAAAGGCAGAGGAGCCAGACGCAAGCCAGGCCCTCCGACAGGAGATGCAGACTGGGCTGTGCAGCATGTGGTGCTGCCCACGCGCACGACCCGCCCCGCTGACCCCGAGGGCGGTCTTCGTGCCTGATGTCTACACCAGGGATCCACACTGCATTCTGCAGGGCTGAGTGCCCAGGGCACTACCACCACGCCTGAGCTATGGAGCCCATGCCTCTCAGCAGCACACGGGATCAGTGGTACACACCTCAGCCTGACACAGCTTCATCCCGGGGTCCCTGAGGACCACCTCGCTGAGCCCACGGCTCTCCAAAGACCCTCATCTGCCCAGGAGCAGACCAGTTTCCTTGCGTGGACAGCACTCTGCCCTGTGGAGTCTGAACAAACACCCAGGTCGGGCCACGGAGAGCCAAATCATGGAGAGCCAGGCCATGGAAAGCCAGGCTGCAGAGACCTGGGCCACGGAGAGCCGAGGCATGGAGAGCCAAATCATAGAGAGCTAGGCCACGGAGAGCCAGGCCACGGAGAGCTGGGCCATGGAGAGTCAGGCCACATAGACCCGGACCACGGAGAGCTGGGGCATGGAGAGCCAGGCCATGGAGAGCCAGGCCATGGAGAGCCGGGGCATGGAGAGCCAGGCCACGGAGAGCCAGGCCATGGAGAGCCGGGTCATAGAGAGCTGGACCACTGAGAGCCAGGCCATGGAGAGCTGGGCCACACTGCTATGGCTCAAATGCACTTACCTGCCCTGAGCTGACCCAGCATCATGGGCCTGCATCTGTTCCAGAGAGGCATCTGGGGATACAGACTAGCACTTCCCACATTTTACAGCCTCACCCCAGTCAAGGATAGTCACAGAGGCTACTGCTGGCGTGGGTAGCCACACCAGGCCAGGAGCCTAAGCAGAGTCCCTCCCACTCAGGTCCCAGGTCCCCAACAGCCACGTGCCCTCCCAAGCCGGGATCTTCATACTGCCTCCCACCTGTCTCCAGGTCAAGTGGCTGTAAGCTACCAGCTGGTCTTTGTTCCCTATTCTTTCTTCAGTTCTGTCTGCACAGCCAGCTTCCCTGGATCTGCTCAGGATCACCATGCTTGACTGCACAGACTCCAGTATTGCAAATAAAGCCGGGCACCCTGGGGGAGTCTGCTGTGATCCCATCACCACCAGGTCTGTGTCCAGCATCTGCAGCTGCAGCACTGAGCCCCACTGTCCCTGACCCAGGGTGGTCCTGGACTGCAGGGATGGCAGGCTCTGGCCTTGTGAGCAGGAAGCAGCACAGGCTCATGGGCATCTGTGATTCCTGCAGCTGCTGATGAAGTCCCAGGGACTCGGCTGGGAACCCTGCAAGGGGTGGCGGGGCGCCCCCTGGCATGGGAAGTGACCACACTCTCTTGTTGTCTGACATGCAGTAAGCCTGCCTTCGAGGCGCCTCACACTGCAGTGTTCACACGGGCAGGGTCTGCTCGGTGTGTGGAGCACAGGGCAGCTGCAGAGTGGCCAGGTTCTGTTGGGTTTCATCCCCATGGCCAGCTCTGAAGGCCAGGGAAGAGTGATGCTGCCCCCTGCCCCTGTCACTCACAGCATGGCTTCTGTGCAACATCCCCATACAACCTAAGATCGAGTTTGGGGGGGAGATCTGGCCCTCCATGCTGCAGCTGACTGCTTCCTGGAGCCACTCTGTCCACGAGTCCCTGGCACGCTGGCAGGTCACAGTGGGGAGGCATTCTCTTGACCTCACCAGAGGCAGTAGCTCACACCTGGGGGCTGAGAACGACGGGATACTCACAGAAGCCTCTGTACCATCCATCTCTTGTGGGACAAGATGGGAAGTGTTGGGGCTGATGTTGTGGCACAGCATCTTAAACTGCCATCTGTGACATTGCATCCTACTTAGGGGCCTGGCTGCCGCACTGCTGGTCTGGCTCCCTGCCAATGGCCCTGGTAGGCAATGGAGAACGGCCCATAAGCCTGGCCCTGGCATCCCTCCCAGGGACCAGGATGAGGCTCCTGGCTCCTGGCCTTAACCTGGCTAATTCAGTCATTTGGCAAATGAACCAGTAAATGGGTATCTCTCTCTGTGTTTCTCTCTCCCTCTGTATCTGCCTTTACAATAAGTAAATAAATCAAAAAAAAAAAAAAAAGGAAGGAAGAGAAAAGAAAAGAAAAAGAGAAACAGAGGGCTGGGCCTTAGGCTGACTGAGGGGTCCAGGAATGCCTTCTGCTGGTGTGAACGGTTAGGAGAAAACCCAAACCACACCACTATGGTGAGATGCAGACACCACAGGCAATCTGCCAGCAGTGCCCACAGGGCAGCCCTGGCTGCTGGTCGAGGCCTGGGTGCTAGGCTGCCTTGGACACAGCAGGGCATGGTCCAGAGCCTCACATGTGTGCCATGGATTGGGGTCAAGGCCCTGACGTGCTTTAGCAGCGTCCCCGCAGTCTTAACAGCAGAGCCAGGGTGGAGCCGGATCTGGAGCCAAGGGAGCCTCCACGCTGCAGCTCCAGAGGAAGCAGGGCACCTCACAAGGTCAGCACTGGGCAGCTGCCAGGGGTGGCCCAGCATAGGGCTGGAAGCTGTGATGATCTTCCCGCTGCTCCCCAAGGACCCCGAGGCCTTGGAGCCCTCCCACCTCCCTACCACTGGTGTCTGGGGACCCTGGGTATCTTCCCACAAACCCCATGAGTCTCCCACCCACAGGACTCATGGAAACCTCACATACTCACAGCTGCCTGCAGGCACACAGGTGCCTCGCCCATCCCCTACTTCGCGTCTTCTGGCAGACGCCCCTGCCCCTGCATTCTGATTAGTGTGCGGGTGGCAGCCCTGGAATCCCCGGGGGACAAGCCTTCTAACCCTGCTGGTGTGAGCTGAGATGAGGAACTGCAAGGGGACTTGGGTTCAGCCTAGATGCCTGGACACTGCCACCACCAAGGAGCACCAGTGGGGACCCCAGGGCAGGCTTCAGTGCAGAAAGAGGGTGGTGCTGCCCCTAGGGTAGCACTGGAACCAGACTCCTCCTCAGGCTATGGTGTGCAAGGGTGGGGCCTGCACTTCTGAGCAAGTCTGCTCTCACCTGACCCTCAACCCTGCTCAAACACATTCCAGACTTCTGAGCTCAGCCACAGAGGCAGCAGTGTGGGGGATCGCATGACCCCGATTCCCTGTCTCAGGCCTACTATCCTTCTGCAAAGACCAGCTGTCTGGGCAGGGATCCGAGCCTCAGAGGGTGGGCACGTAGGTCCTCCCTGGCCCGCCATGTCTCCCCTCAAAAACACACACACAGCTCTGCTCTTTAGCCAGCCGGGTTCCTCCTGATGCCCCTTTCCTGGGGCAGCTGAAGGCTCCTACCCTCTGACTCCCAAGGAAGCATAGGGCGAGTGGCCGGCTCCCATCATGCTGTGTCCTGGCTGGTCTCGGGGTTCTGAGCTTGCTGTCCTCCCTCCCCACCAATCCTAGGCATCTGGTCTCCAGGGGAGTGCCAGGACTGACTGGCCAGAGGAGACAGAGGCACCTATAGCGACTGGGCTGCTGTGTCTGTGTGGGCTGCGGCACTTGCGGTGGAGCTAGGAGGAAAGCCAACCCCAGAGGAGGCACCAGAGCCGGACCTGACCTGTCCAGAGGCCCTGGGTCATGGGCAGAGCTCAGCCTGGAGCCCAGCAAAGCATGACTTTGGAGAATCCTAATCCACGGTCCCAGTGTCTTGGTGGCCAAACTCATCTTGCACAGTAAGACCCCTGAGGCACGCGTGGGGACATGGCTGCTCTGTCCACCCTGGGCACTCTTTCTTTAGGGTGTCAGTGGATGTCTTAGATTCCAGAAAGGTCCTGCAGAAGCTGTGGCATCAACTGAAAGGAAAGGGAGGAGGGCCTTGTGGGGGCCTCCTGTCCCTCCCCAAAGAAGCCCGGCCATAGCATGTGCGCTGTCCGGACACCTGTGGCTCTATCAGGTAATGTTATCTGCAGTGGCCACTGGCCAAGTGTGGCTTGGAGGGAGGAGGCTGAAGGACCGCAAACATCGGGGAAAGGGCCCTGGCTCAGCAGGAAGGAGCCACTCCAGGAAGTGGCCAGGAGGCCATCACTAGCTGTGCACCCACTCTGGCCCCTCCCCAGGTCCTGGGCTGGGCTGGGCATGCTCAGCGGCCAGGGCTCCTGTCCGCCTGCCAGGACAGACGTGGGGCCTGGACGAGGCTCTTTGGGAAAGCCCTGCCTGCTTCCGAAGCACTTGGCCGGGCCGTGTGGGCTCAGGGAAGGCCCTCAGAACAGCTCTTGGGAACAGTCTCCCAGACCTCCTGGGGAGGTGAGGTGTGACCAGAAGGCTTCCCAGCAGCCCTGTGGGCAGCAGAGCTGCTTACCTAGATGCCATCCTGGGCGCCCACTGAGACCATGGCTGACTTGCTCTGTTGCTTTCTTTGCTCGGGCCCCATGCTGGAGGCTGTGTTCCTGGGGAGATGCCCCTCGGAGCAGAGTGGCACTGCTGGCCGCAGCCTCACTAGCCTCAAAGACGCACCTGTGACAGCTGGCTGGGCACACCTCTAGGAGCCCCTGGTCTGTTCCTCACTTAGCTGGACTAGCTTCCCAGGAAGTGTCTTCAGGTTCAGCCCAGGTGTACCCTGGAGCCTGGGTGAGGGCTGGGGCTAGGACATGAAGCAGCGAGGACCGGGCAGTACACGGGCATGGGTAGACAAGGTGCAGCTGGCCCTGGCAGCGGTGTGCCCTGCTGTCCTGAGGGACTTTCACTCTGGAGGGAGCTGTAGGTGAGGACTCTTACCTGTGACTCCTGAAGATGGCTGCTCTGCCAGAGGCATTCAGTAGGTGCTCCATACACGCTCGCGCCCTGCCCTCCCGCCCCACAGCAGCTCTGTCAGGGCGTCTGGAGGGGTTGAGACTCCCCCAACAGAGGCAGGGGCAGACCCAGCTGTCCCGAGCACCCAGACGCCTTGTGAGAGATCCTGGGACTGGGGGCTGTCTAGGGCATGCACAACCCTGGGGCTTGGGGAGCCAGGGAATGGGGGTCCCTGGAACAGTAGCAGGGGATCCCTGGAAGCTCTGTGGTAACACACAGGCAGAGACCCAAGGGTATGGCCTTGCAGGAGCCCCAGGATAGGGGAAGTGGATTCTGACAGCAAGGACCCTGGGAACAGGCGGGAGCTGCATGGAGCCTGACAGCGGGCACCCTGGGCACAGGAGTGAGCTGTGTGGATGCCAACAGTGGGCACCCTGGGCACAGGCGGGAGCTGCATGGACTCTGACAGCGGGCACCCTGGGCACGGGCGGGAGCTGCACGGACCCCGACAGCGGGCACCCTGGGCACAGGCAGGAGCTGCATCGACCCCGACAGCGGGCACCCTGGGCACGGGCGGGAGCTGCATTGAGGCCTCACAGACTGTTACCTGAGTCCTAAGCTTGATCATGTCAGCCTCCATTTGGGAATTGGACTCATTCAGCTCCTTAATCTCTTCATCAAGCTGCTTGATTTCTTCATCGTTCTCTATTCCTGCCACGAGAAATCCACATGTCAAAACAATTGTTCTTCCTGCCTTTGGAACAGAATCTGCTTCCCCAAACCCAGGAGCTGAGGAAAGGGAGCTGGCATGCTCGGGATGGTAGCCCCGAGAGGCCAGGGCACCGGCCTGGGCTTGCAGAGGCCCCGATGTTCTGCCTTGGGATCCAGCAGGCCAGGCAGACTCCCTCCCTCCCTGTCTCCTGTGTAAACACCTGCACGGAGCCCTGAGACTCAGGATGGAGAGCAAACAATACCCACAAGGAGGAAGCTGAGGTTGTGAAGGGCAGGGCCAAACATGGGTTGAGCCAGCAGCCACACAGGGCTCTCTGAGCCCCTGACCTTTAACCCAAAACCCCTCACTTAAAGGAGCAGCAGTCAGAACTGTCCACCCACAGAGCATCACCTGAGGCACAGGAGCAGTGAGGTGTGCACCTGCTGTCGGTGGGTGGCTGGGGGTGCGGGTGGGCTTACACCCTGTGGAGGCCAGCAGTACTCACTCCGTTGGCTGCAGGCAGTGCTGTGCTGTCTGCATCAAGACCTACGTGCCTCCCTCCTGCCTCAGGCCAAGCGCGTGCTGCAGCAGGGATCCTCCAAGCCCAGGCCAGGGCTGTGCTGGGTACAAGGAAGCCGCACTTAAAACCAGTGGAAAATGCATCCAGTCTCAGGGGCACCGGGCAGGTAAGCACTAGACTCTGACTTTGCCAATGGAAGGGGCACGGTCATTCAGAGATAAAGCCCAGGGACACCCCAGATACAAGTAGAGCCTCACTGGATGCGGTGAGCTCTGGGTTGCCCAGCAGACACTGGGGAGCAAGAGGAAGGGCCAGCCGGGGGCTGCATGACGTGGCTACAGGTGCTGTTGGGAACAGCAGGACAGCAGGCGGCTTTCTCCCCCGCCAGGTCACAGGCCACAGTGCAGGCCAAGGTCAGTTTCCTGGGAATTGCTTCCTCCGGAGCTTGGTTGAGCGGTCCAATTCTCCGTGGGTCAAGCCAGCGGGGCTGCCAGCGGACAGCTGTGAGCATCCAGGCCATGCTCTGCATCCGGGTTGTTCCCTCAGACCCTCAGCTGTGGGTCAGGCAAGCCTGCAGCACAGACCACAGCCCCTCCCAGGGTCCTGCCATCTTTCAGGATAGGGACTTGAAAGTGCCCAACAAGATGCACGCTGAGGGCCCTGGGCCCCAAGGCAAAAGGCAGGGGGCAGGCATCGCCAAACAGACCTTGCATCCCCAAGCAGACGGTGGACGCCCCCAGACATCCCGGGCCAGGGCTCTGTGGTCTGGGGCTCCTGTCTTTCGAGCCTCCTCTTTCTCCAACTGTGCCTCCCAGCTTTGGCCCACCAGGTGGTTTCTTGGTGCTTTCCTGAGCAACATCTGTGGCCCATGCCCTGCACTGCCGTGTCCAGACCCAGGCTGTTCTGTGCAATAGGCACTCTTTCTCCCAGGAACCCAGGACTGGCCGTTAGGCTCTCTGCAAGGAGATGGCACCAACCAGCAGTCACAAGTTCTCCTTACAAATGCCATAAACATTCAGACCTGGGAGGATGATGTGAGGGCGTAGCCATGTTAAGCCTCTGCCCGTGGCACTGACGTTCTATACAAGTGCCAGTTCAAGTTCCCCGGCGCTCCGCTTTTGATCCAGCTCTCTGCTATTGGTTTGGGAAAGCAGTAGAGGATGAGCCAGGTCCTTGGGCCCCTGCACCCATAGGAAAGCCCTGGAAACAAGCTCCTGGCTCCTGGTTTCAGATGGGCTCAGGCCATGGCGGCCACTTGGGAGCCACATGGGAGCGAGTCAGTGGACAAAAGATCATTCTCTCTGTAAATCTGCCTTTCCAATAAAAATAAAATAAAATAAAATTACAAACATAATTTCAGATTTGAGTTTGCCTGGAACAGCAGGAGACACAAAGATGCAGCCACAGATGAACTCTTCCCAGAGTCCTGGCTGCCAGCCGGGTGCTGGTTCTGCAGGACAGCCCTGCGGCTTTGGGTTCTGCTCTCTGCCGTTCTCCCTGCTCCCAGCACCAGGGCTGCACCTCTAACGGCCAGTGAGGGTGATTAAGGTGACTCAGGACACAAAGGGGCTTTGTCCTGCTGAGTCACTGATGGAGAAGGGAGATTGTTGAAGCAACAAAAACTCCTGAGCTGGACGTGGTGCAGCATGTGGACTCCAAGTTTTGTTTGCTCTGAAAATTGAAATTGAAATGGAGCTCCTCTCCCAAGGCTAAAAAACCCACACCTAAAATTCTCCATCAGAAGTTCCATAGGGTCTTGCGAACATCCCTGGGAAGCCGCCCCATCTTCAGTTGCTTCCTCCAGGGAGCCTCTGGACATGTTCCCTACACATACAGACATACAGGCCTTGGGGTCTTCTGCCCTGAAACACTTGGGGTGGGAGTAAGCTTGGCTGCACATCTTTTCAAGACCCTGGAATGTTCCAGAAACACTGGCAAAGGGTGTCATTCGTGCTCTTCAAGTAGCACGCACCACCTGCAGGAAACTCATCTGGATTTCCACACCTGCAGTTTCACTGTGACGTCCTGGTGCTCACAGCTGCACCCCAACGCCTTGGCTTTGGGTCCTGGCACTCACACTGTGCTGAGGGGTGCATGAGTCCAGCAAGGCCCACGCTGCAGAGCTTGCAGCAGGCATGTCTGGCCATCAGGACTCAACAGATGAGCTCAGTACAGATCTGTGCAGTCTGTCCACTGCCAAAGGACAGGCCGGGCCTCACCTTCTGCTCCTCACCCTGGCCCACGCCTGGTATTCCCATGGGCAGATCCTACAAGAACTGCCCTTTCCCAACTGGGGGTGCTAAGGACTGAGTGCTGGGTGATTCTCCTGCAGGGAAGAGTGGGAGCAGAGAGAACGGCTTCAGGGATTCAACGGGAAGCTATAATTGCACAGGCAGAGAGGCTGCCCTGTGCTGCTAGGGTCACACAGTGGGACCTGTGATCCTAGGCACTTCTCTCCTCTTGCCACTGGGCTTGGTTCAGATGGATGTTTCTGGATGCCTATGTTATATGTGAAAGTAGGAAAGCAACCCAAGGTGGGCTTTGCATCCAGAAGAAAAGAGAAAAAAAGAGCGAGCCTGCTTTCCATAGCAAGGGCCATAGGAAGCTGACCTGCCTGGCTATGGCATGACCTTGTAGCTGTGGTGTGACCTGGTGTGGCTGTGGTGTGATCTGGTGGTCTGTGGTATAACCTAGTATAACCTGGTATGGCTATGGCATGACCTTGTAGCTGTGGTGTGACCCTGTAGCTGTGGATGACCCAGTGGCTGTGGTGTGACTTTGTAGCTGTGGTGTGACCTTACAGCGGCTATGGTGTGACCTGGTGGCTGTGGTGTGACATCGTGGCTGTAGTATGACCTTATAGCTGTGGTGTGACATGGTGGCCATGGTGTGATCTAGTGGCTGGGTGTGTGAGCAGCCATTTGGGAAGTAAGTGTTACTGTTCTGTCCCCGAGGTCTAGCGGCTGGCCCTTCCCTTGTTCTTGACGCGACCATACAAACATGGTTGTAGCAACTCACGCCTAGGGTTTGGTAAGAAATCTCTTCAGACCCATAGGATTGGTTCTGCATGAACAAGCCAGCAGGAGGAGCAGACTGGGCACCAGCACTGCTGGGGTCTGGGGGAGCCCATGGGGTGGTTTCTGCCCTAAGTGGTGGAAGCAGGGCTTCTATGCCTCTGTCCTTGGTGACACACAGCCCAGGGACCACAGCAGAAAAGTCTCCGCCCCCAAACTCCAACAATGCCCACGGTGGCTCCCAGTGTGCACTGTACTAGGGAAATGCCGAGGGCTACCCAGCGGGCGAGTTTGGCCCAGGGGCAGCCAGTGCCTGCATACCCCCACAGACATGGAGTCTGGCTGCTGGCGCCTGAAGTTCACATGTGCAGGATGACTCACTCTGGCCTGCAAGAGGGCATGTACAGGTTCAGACCAGTGGTGGGCACCTGTACTCACAGGCAGGTTACCCTGTTTCTTGCCCTGTACCAGTGAAGTCACTGGCTGGGCAAGGAGGAGCCCCCTCATCCACTCGGCTTTCCCGTTCAGTTCTTTCTGAAGTAGCATCTTTTACCTGGGGGTATGGCAGAGAAACACAGCCTGCCATGTTTCCCAGTGCCAAGCAGGTGTGCAGCGAAGTGACTGGCAAGGAAAGACCCAGGAAACATTTCTTTCTGTCTCTGTGGCTCAGCACAGGACTCTGGTGACCGACAGTGGACATGACTGTCCCTGGGGCTTGGCTCGGGGCCCATTGGTGACTGACAATGGATGTGGCTGTCTTCTTGGCTCGGTATGGGACCCCATGGTGACTGACAGTGCATGTGGCTGTCCCGTGGCTCAGCTCAGGGCTCCTCGAGCTCATCACACAGACACTGATTGATGCTCATCTCTCACACACCCATGAGACAGAAGTGACCTCTGGTGGGTGCAGGCCTGCAGGACCCAGACTCTGGCGCAAATGAATTTGGTCCCTTTCCTGGTGACTGACAGTGTGGCCCAGTAGGGGCAGCATTGCTGTAGGCAGCTGCGCATCCTGCTCAAGCCTTCCACAAAGTTGTTTGATGATGGTGGAAGACCCCACGGTGCAGCTAGGACCCCAAAAGGCTCCTAGGACCCAGAGGCCTGTGGCCTCTGCATCTGGCTTTGCTGCAACCCCTCCCAGGAGGCAGAGGGGCAGGCCAAACTCCTCCTGGTGAGTTGCCACCAGGCTGTCACCTTGGAGCTCATGCCTGGCAGGACTGACATCCCCCAAAGCCACAGGACTCCGTCATCCTTACTTGGCACCCCCTCAGGTGATGGGAGCCACACTGGAGCTGTGTCTGGAATTGCCGATGGTCTGAGCAAATGGAGGGGATGCCGGATGCAGCCCAGGTCCCAGCTCCCTTTCTTCTGCCCCCCATACTCCCTCTGACTTTCCCTGCAGAGCCTGTGCCTGCTCAGGTGACCAGCAAGAGACCCTCAGGAGGACATAGGCCCTGAAGGCCTCAGCCAGCTCAGCTCAGACGCTGAGCCTGGACAGGCGAGGACGGGCAGGCTCTGACCCCCGCCACCTCTGCTGCAGAGGCCGAGGGTCAGAGGTGGAAAAGCAGAAGCCCCAGGACCTTGACAAGTGGGAGATGCAATGGGGAAGCCCCTGGCGTCAGTGTCGGCTGTGTAGGGATTGGAGCAGGGCCTCTGAACTGCGCCTCTCAGTCAAGGGCACGGGCTGCTAGCCCTGCCCAAGCGCCGGTGGGGATGGGCTGCTCACCGTTGCTGGCCCGCTGCTTGATGGTCAGCATCTGCTCTCCTGACAGCTTTGCCTTCTTCATGGCGGACGTGGCTCGCGGGCATCCTGACAAGCTGCGGGCAAGGAGATACTGGTGAGCCCTGGTCTCTGCGGCCGTCGGTCGGAAGGCAGACACAGCTCTGGTGCGCAGCAGCCAGGAAGCAGCCGAGGCGGTCGGTAAGTAGGACAGGACAGGGCCACGGAGTGAGTGCTGGGCCTGTGCACGGCACTCTGTGTGGAGGCACCTCATGTGGTTGGCTGGCAGCAGCAGGCTAGCTACCTTGGCAGAGCGGCGGGGGACTGGATCCCTTGGCAGTACCTGCTCCTCACCAAGCTGTCCCCAGGGCTGTAAAGACTGTCCACGGTGTGACCGCACGGGGCTCCAAGGACTCCTTCAACATGGAGGCCTCCTCCTGCCTGCACCCCACCCCTTGCTGCTCTCACTCTGCAGCACCCACTCACACCCTCACTGCACGTCTGGGTGTGGGAGACTGATGGCTGCCTCCCCTCCCTCTGGAGCCGTGTCTCCTGAGTCCCTGGCCAGAGGCACACTGGTTTGGGACAGAGGAAGACGGCTGTCATTCCCTGTTGCTCTTCTGAAGTCCCCTGTCACAGAGCAGGTCCCAGGCTCGAGTCCCCAAGCCCCTCGTCCCGACGGCTGTCAATCACACATCTATTCCAACCCAGGACCTGACCCCTTCAGGCAGCCTGAGGCAGAGGGAAGACCTTGGAGGGCAGTGAGTGTCAGTCTGGCCCGGGTCACCCCACTCCTGCTCCACATCCTGTCAATCTGAGATGGAAACTTCTGGAACCCAAACATACTGAGCCAAGACTGAATTCTCTGAGCCTGAGTGGATGCCCCCACAGCCCCCAGCGGCCCTGCACCCTCACTCTGTGCACCCTGTGGTGTTGGCGCACCACAGAACCAGCTGTGTGCCCCACCACGCCCGACGATGTGCTAGACGGGACCGGGCAGGGGCCGCCCAGGCCTCAGCCCCTCGTGGCCTTCCTCTCCTCCATCAGGGGTTGCACCTGCCAGCTGCTTCTCCGGCCGGGGGTGGGCCTGGCTGGTCATGCCAGGTCACCTCTGATACCCACAAGGCACTGCACTGAAACTCTCAGACATCACCCAGATTCTTCCCACGTCCAAATGGCAGTTAGAGCTCCCCGAGGATGAATTGGCTGAGTGAGTGTGCAGGTGGTAGGGCCTCGGGCCTGTGGCCAGGTGCTGGCTCCCAACACCCCGAGGATGGATGAGGACAGCAGTGAGGACAGTCGGATGCCACCCCTGTGAGCTTCCAGCTAATCAACTGCCCACTGGGAACAGCCCTTTTTGCATGGCTTCGGGAGTGTGAGACGTGAGCGGGTTTGAGAGACTAAATTAGGAAACAAAGGCCCTAGGGACGGAGCATTCTCAGCGCCGTGGGTCCCGCCATTCCGATCCACTGACTACATGGCCAGCCTGGGTCACTTTTGGAAGTGAGCCCTGAGTGAAGGCAGGCGCAGGGGTCACATTGCCATCTAGTGGTGGCGTATGCGGTCGGGGCCCCTGGGAGGCTGGGGTCCTGGCAGGACGCCCCCCTCCCGCCCCCGCCTCGCCAGGTGCAGAGTCAGCCCGAGGTGGGGACACCGTGCTTGCGCGCCTCTCTGGATCAGGACTAACAACCTCCTGGGGCTCAGAGTTGCAGCCAAGGGACTGCAGTCCTGGGAAGCGCGGGCAGCTGAGGGTTAACCAGCTGCTCCCCAGCCAGCCAGGGGCCCCAGACGTCTGGCAGCCGGCGCCAGCCCCAGGAATCTCTGTGAGGGTTCCTGTGGGAGGGGGAGGCAGCTGGCTTGGAGGCCTCTTCCTGGGTAGCACCCTGAAGACAGCTGTGCGAGGGACACTTCCCGGGACCTGCAAGGGCAGCTGTGTGTACGTTCAGACCTGATGCCACACACAGTCACCATGGCAAGGGCGTGCTGTGCCACGCCTGTGTGCCAGGCTGCAGCAATGGCTGCAGGCTGATCCTCTCCGCGCAAACGAACCCAGGGTGACCCAGAGCATTTTCATCAGTACTTGGTGGCTTCTGGCACGTGAGCAGCCACAGCTTGGCTGCCTCTCACGCCCCAGGCTCACAGGGGCGGCTGTTTCTGCAGTTGCTTTCCTGGACTTCCTGGACTCAATGCAGAGGCCTGCCACCGGGCTCCCTTCTCAATCCAACAGCCAGGAGATTCTGTAGCAAACTCCATGTTTCCAGAAGTAGCTTGCCCAGGCCACCACAGCTAGTAGCTTGCCCAGGCCACCACCCAGGTCCCCTGCTGAGGAGCAGGGTGACCCTGGCTCGAGGCCAGCTCTTCAGGAGCCAGGCCCCCTTCCCATGAGCACCTCTGAACACCCCAGGTCTGTCGGCTCTTGTGACAGACCTACTCTGGGGGGACTCTGTTTCCTATGAATGGACGGGATAGGAAACCGAGGGTCCTTCCATGTCACATTCCACAGGCTGGGTGGGCCGCCTCTCTGAAGGAGGGGGCTTTTGGGGGTGAACTGGAAAGCCCCAGACTCATTCACAGCATCAGAGTGTAGGGAGAGATGGTGACAGTTTTGTGGAAGGAGACCCCACCCATGGGGAACACAAAGGGGAGAGGTCTCTCTCTCCCTCTCTCTCTCTCTCTCCCTCTCTCTCTCTCTCTCTCTCTCTCTCATACACACACACCCCTTCAGCAGCAGGAGCTTGCTCCATGGGCACAGGCCAGACCCCCCTCCAAGGCTGGAGTTCAGAGAATTGCCTGGAGGGATTCTTTAAATCACAGCAAAGATCTTTAAAGGTCAGGACTAAAATAAACAACTGTTAACAACAGCAAAATGACTAAAAAGTTAGGGTCTCAGAGAAGTTGTCAGGGAAACTGTTGTCGCAGGAAGCCAGGGTCCAGAGAGGCAACAGGTTAACCTTGTGCTGGGGTTCCACCAAGCGGGTCCCAGCCACCTGCTGCCTCTCACAGCACTCCCCCTGTGCCGCTCTGTCCTCTGTCAAATGGATGTCCTTCTTAAGGGCCCGGGGCCAGCCTAGCGGTCCGTGCCCTCCGCTGAGCCGGGTGCTGTGCAGCAGGGACAGTGTTGGGAATACCCGCTGGGTCCGAGCTGCGGCGGCATCTTGCAGGTCACAACTCCAGCCTGGGTGGGTGCGTCAGCCATCAGCCGCTGTCACAAGTGCAGCAGCAACGGGCAGGCAGCAGATGGCGCGCTCACTCCAACGTGGCCGGTCCTTGCACAGGCTTCGTTCGCAAGGGAGTCCTGGGGTCCCAGCCTGCTCAGGCCTGCGCCTCTCAGGGTGCCCCCCGGCCCTTGCGGGGCCTCGGCGGAAAGCAAAGACCTCTGCCCCGAGCTTTTCTGGCTTCTTGTTTTGGTAATTGCCTTTCTCCCACTTTCTCATTCTCTCCACCTTTCCCGAAACTTTTGAGGGTAGCTGGTTATGAAATCTTTGAAATATTTTTTGAAAAAATATTTTACCTTCTCCTTATATGACTGGTGGAATATTCCTCAACTTCATATACTAACTCTCTTGGTGAACAGTCTCCTTCACTTATTTGTCTTAAGAGATCTTTTCCCCTGAATGTTTCTAGGATTATTAACACAATAAATTTCAATATTCTTTCCATTCTCAGTTTGGTCTCATGAAAATTACAGGTTGTTAGAAAGATTTCTTCTCTTTCCAGAACTGTCTCTGTTCTCTGTGAGATCCCCACCCCCTTCTTTCAGGCTTGCTTCTGTCCTGTGGTTTCCTTAAAAGGCAGGACACCGCGGGCTGCTGTCCTCCTTGCCCCAGCCCCCAGCCGAACCTGCCTCTGCTCCTCTCAGGAGCTCTGGCCCTGCACAGCTGGTTCCACAGAGCAGGTGGCAGAGCCGGCTCCTGTCCTTGCTCCTGTTCCTGGCTGGGACACAGGTCCAGGGCTCCAGGTACCTCCCAGGATCTATGCTCCCGTGCTCCCCATGGGGTGGGGAGAGGGGTGTGCTCCTTTCCCACCCTCTTCCTGGTTCCCCCCGGCTCCCTGGATCTGGCACTGCTGGACACCCACGGATTCGGTGGCAGTAGAGACTACATTCCAAGCTTTATGCCTCCAAAGATCCCACGCCATGATCAAGCGACATCCCATGGCAGGCCCAGCAGCCCCCAGCCCGTGGCCCCTCCTGTGAGGATGGGGCATGCTGTGCTGCTGGTGGAAAGGGAACGTGCCAGAGCCAGCTGGCAGGCAGTCAGGTGGGTGGCTGTGGGGCCCAGGGGCCTCCTGCAGCCTAGGTTGACGGCACCACCAAAAAGTGCCAAATGTGCTTTGTCTGCCAAGAGCTGACACGAACTGTGGGGCTGCAGCCTGCACGTGCCCCTTCAGACTGGCAAGACCTGAAGACGACCAGGTTTTCCCAGGCCGCACTTCAACCACAGACACGGCACTAAAATGCGAGTGGGAAAAAGCTGCTGTGTCTGCGGAACGTGAGGAAAGCTGCAGGAAAGTGCAGCCAGCGAGCCTCCCACGCATGCGCCGAGGGCTGGCCCTGGCAGCCTGGGACTCCGGCCTGAGGAAGGCCATTCCTGCCAGCCGTGGGTCGCGAGGCCTGTGGGTACAGCCCTCGCTACCTCTCCCCGGCCTCAGGACCTCCTGACCTGCCTCTCCAGGCCTGCTGCTCACACATAAGGCCCTGCCTGGGTGGCACCACAGCTCTCTCCCACACCCCAGCCCGGGCCCGTGGGGCTCAGCTCGGACCTTGCTAATCAGCCCAGCCTCCTCAGACCTGTCCACCCCTCACCTCCAGAGAAGCCCGTGGCCTCTCGGGATGGCTGGACCCTGGCCCTGTGGGATGTACCCTGGGAGGGTTCCCAGCGAGCAGGCCTGGCTGTGGCTGAGCCTTCCTCGGGATCAGATGTGTGTTTCTAGAAGCCCTCCCAGATGGCTTCCCCACGCACACCTCAGATGTGTGCAGATGGGGCTGTGGGTACCATCGGGGTCTGTGAGCTGGAACAAGCATGTGGGTCCCACGCAGCTTGTGCCTGCCTCATGTGGTGGGTGACCAACTGAGGGAGGTTTCTGAAAGCAGACGGTGACGCCTGCCTTGGGAAAGGTTGAGAGAGAGGTCCAAGAAAGGACCAGAGCAGGCTTGCTGAGTCATCGAAAACCTCTCCGGAAAAATCTCTAGGACGTGGAGCAGATGACTGGCACAGTGGTCAAGGTGCTGCCCGCAATGCCCACAGAGCATCAGGTGCCTGGTCCGGTCCCCATTTCAGCGCACCAGCGCCATGCTGAGGGGCGGGGCGTCTGCAGCAGCACTCAGCGGAGGGCCCCGGGCGGGGGCACGGTGTCAGCTCTGTGTGGAACAGGGATCTGCCTCCCTCAGACCCTTCCCCGCTTTGTGGCACCCCTGACTCCACGAAGCAGGCCTCGGCAGAGACACTGCCACACCCCAATGCACTTCTTTTCTGAAATCAAGCAAATACAAACCGCTGGGACCACCTGGCTCTTCTGAGAATGTTGCCACACACCTGGTGCCCCAGAACCGGTGCCTCCTCTCCCCGGGGGGCCGGGCACACTGATAGCCCATGCCCCCTGACACCTCCGGCATCTCCAGGGGCGCCTGGACCCGCCCACCCGAGCGCACGCACGGAGGCCCTCTCACCTGCGGTGTGTGAGGAAGCTGCCGCTGACATGGCCAGAGCCGTCACAGCCCGGCGTGGGGCAGGACATGCCTTCCGTCTTGACAGACTTCCAGGAGAACTGCGAGCCGTTGAGGTACCCGTCCTTCTGTCTCTTGGCGGCCAGAGGGCACCCCGAGGCGCTGCGGTGGGAGGCATACTTCCCGGTGATGTGGCCCTGCCCGTCGCAGCCGGGCACTGGACACCTGGGCAGCAGACAGAGGGGACGGGTCATCCTCCTGCCACCACAGCCCGGAGCCTGTGCAGCAGGCCCCAAACCCCGACCCGGAGGAAAACGCAGCACTCGTGCTCCCAGGGATGAGTGGGTTAGAAGAGTAGCAGAAGACGTGGAAAGAAAAAAAGGGAGAGAAAGGGACACGAAAGCAGGGAGAGATGGAGAAAGAAAAAAGGACAGAAATGGAGAAATGGAAAAAGGAAAATCGATGAGAAGGAGGAAAAAGGGACAGGTAAGGGCAATTCAGAAAAACGATCGCCACCCAGTGGCGACGCTGGCGATTGCAGCCCGAGCAGCTGGCGAACCGCGGCTGGGCGGTGAGCAAAGGGCGCTGTGATGGGGCCATTGCGGGGTGACGAGCATGTATGTAAACAAAACTAAAACGTCAAGTTATTCTTTATTCATTGATTTATTTGTGAGGCAGAGAGACTGAGAGACAAAGAGAAAGAGATCAGGAGAGAGAGAGAGAGAAAGGGCTGCCATCTGCTGGTTCACTTCAAATGCCCAGGGTGGCCAGGGATGGGCGTATGGCCCTGGGCCCTTCCATGGGGGGACGCAGCAGTTTAGCCACCAGGCCAGAAGGCCCCTGTTTTTCTGGAAGCTGTGTCCTGCGGAAGCCATGGCACCCCTAGCAGTGAATTCAGGCATCAGATCCAGAGGGGATTTGAAGGGCAGCTCCTAGGACCATAGGTACGAGTCATGACCATACCACAGCACAGCACAGCAGAAGCCCCATCATTAATGTAGTCCCGTGCGATTAATTGAGCCTATTCTGTGTCAGTCATTGTTGTTTTAAGTCAAATTCTTTCTCCAAGGACATGGATGATATTGCCATCTCCAGGAGTTATAGCCTGTTCTGGGGGTTTGCAGCCACACGGGGCAGGCAAGCACAAGGGCAGGGCTGGTGGCTGGCAGGTAGGAGGGTCAGCCCCTGCCACCTCTCGGGCCTCAGAACCGGCTGTGTGCACCTGAGTTAGAACTCAGAGGCTGGTCAAGGGTGACTTCTGCCATCATCGGGGAAGCCTGCTCCAGCCTTCTGCCATTCCCGGGGCAAGGGGTGGGCTGGTGCCTGGGAGCTGGATGCTGGCGGAACCCGGCCTCAGGGCGGCTGTGGTCCTCCTACCTGATGGGTTCCTGGTCCTCCTTGTCCTCTTTGCTCTGCGCCACCCGGATGCCACTCTTCTTGGCTCGGGGGCACCCTGAAAGGCTGAAGAGGAAGCACCAGTCAGCCAGAGAGTAGCTCTGGGTAGGAAAAATAAACCAGGCAAGTCACCATACTCTTCCTCTGGGCAGGTCAAGCCCCGTGGCCCTGCCAGGGGAGCCCAGCACCCAGGGAAATGGAGGCTGCAGGAGCCCCTGGAAGGATACAGGGAGCGCTTTGTGACCAGAGGGAAGGAGGGAGAGACGGCGAGAGAGAGAGAGAGAGAGAGAGAGAGAGAGAGAGAGAGAGAGAGAGAGAGAAGCAAGTGGACAGCCCATGGGCACGAGAGGCAGCCCTGCCCTGAGCAGCAAGTCCGCTGTCCTCCTCAAGTCTGTCCTGGGATGGAGCAGGGCCCTCTAGGCTGCCCCAATACCCAGGGAGGGTGATGGCAGCTGGACGTGTGCAGCCTACACAGCAGTGGGCACATTGCCTGTGTTGAGTAAGCGCTCTGGGCAGAGGGAGGTAGGTGCCTGGCGGTGGGGGACCCAGCCCCAGGCTTCCATGGTGTCAGACACTGGGCCAGCAGCAGGAGCATTACCCTTCCTAGGCCTTGCCCTCCAGGTCAGAACAGGTGCTCTGGAGTTGCCAGGTCAGACACAGCACATCACAGGCCCCGGGGGCACTCCCAGGTCCCTGCCTCTGCCTCTCCCTGGTGCCCCTGCTCTCCCCCCCTGCTAGGTTAGAATGCAGGACTAGCTGCCCAGGACTAGCTGTCCCCAAGGCCCACCCACCTGCCGCAGCCCCCCAGTGTCTCCCTACACAGCTCGCCTGTTCTGCCTGCCAGACCCTGCCAGTGTTCCTTCCTTCCAGAAGTTTCTGCCTCCCCACAGCAACTGCAAGCCAATGTTCCTGCAGGTGCTTCTGTGCTCCCTGCCTGTGGGTCCCTCTGCAGGTGAGTGCCCCGGTCCCTGCCAGGGTGGGCGGGCTGCAGGTGAGTGCCCCAGTCCCTGCCTGTGGGTCCCTCTGCAGGTGAGTGCCCCAGTCCCTGCCAGGGTGGGCGGGCTGCAGGTGAGTGCCCCAGTCCCTGCCAGGGTGGGCGAGCTGCAGGTGAGTGCCCCAGTCCCTGCCAGGGACTGGCTAGGTGATGCGTGAGTGAATTTATGAGGGTGGGAGGGCTATCCAGATGCTGCAGTTCAGGTATCCCCACTGGGGTTTGCCTAACGGGGACCCCATGCTTGCTCTTGCTTCCTCCTCTCTTACCAAGTCCCGAGTGTCACTGCCCTGTTCAGGGAACTGCCCAGCTCAGCACAGCCTCCTCCAGTTTCTGTGCCTCCATGGCACACCCACGCTGCAGGTTTGCACCTGTCCCAGTGCCTCTCTGGTTGCTCCCTGTGACCTCATGCTGTCCTGTGGAGCTGCCCACAGCTCAGCCCCTTCTGTGGTTGTAGAGCTAACTTTGCTGCTGTGAGAAGGATGGCAGCAAGGCAGGCCAGCAGCTCTTCCAGCTCAGATCCACAAGTCAGGAGGAGTCGGCTCAGCTAACGGTGGGCTTCTCTCCCCCCACAGAAGGGCTTGGTGCCCAGGTAGTTAGGAACATGCCTCCAGTGCAACACTCCAATTGCAGTGCTGAGCTCTGCCCATGCCTGGGTGCCAGGTCGGTGTTAGTGCATGGGCAGTCCTGCATGCATGCTGCTTTCTGTGCATGGCAGCCAGCAGGTACCCTGCTCACAGTACCCAATATGTGCAGTGTTACTGCATATAGTACCCTGTCCACAGACCTAACATATCCAGTGTTACTGCACATAGCACCCTGCCCACAGTACCCAACATGTGAGGTGTTACTGCACATAGTACTGTGCCCACAGTACCCAACACGTGAGGTGTTACTGCATATAGTACCCTGCTCACAGTACCCAACACGTGAGGTGTTACTGCATATAGTACCCTGTCCACAGACCTCAACATATCCAGTGTTACTGCACATAGCACCCTGTTCACAGTACCCAACATGTGCAGTGTTACTGCACATAGCACCCTGTTCACAGTACCCAACATGTGCAGTGTTACTGCACATAGTACCCTGTTCACAGTACCCAACACGTGAGGTGTTACTGCACATAGCACCCTGCCCACAGTACCCAACACGTGCGGTGTTACTGCACATAGTACTCTGCCCACAGTACCCAACACGTGAGGTGTTACTGCACATAGCACCCTGCCCACAGTACCCAACACGTGCGGTGTTACTACACATAGTACCCTGCTCACAGTACCTGACACATCCAGTGTTACTGCATATAGTACATACCCTGAGCTCAGCACTGAGGACATCTAGTGGTACTAAATATAGTAAGCATCCTGCACACAGCGCACAGTGCATCTAGTAGTACCTTCACACAGGACTCATTGTACTCTGGTCTTACTTTAAAAGTACTCTAGTAATAGTGAATGTAGTAAGTACTCAAATCAACAGCACTTTCCATTTCCAACCCTACTGATTCACCCTGGAATGATTTATTCTGGATGGAGATCATAATTTACATTTAAGCCTAAATTGTCTTAATCACAGATTATGGAATACTGTCATCTAAAATTCTAAGATGTAAGATAAATTGTGACTATAGTTGTATGGTGCTGACCCTAGGTGCATGGACGGGTGGTGGGAAGCAGGCACTCAAGCTGCGACTGCCCATTCTGGCTTGTATGCATGTCACAGCACCCGCAGCCCTGACCCTAAGAACTAAGGCTTTTCTAACACACTTCATCTTCCTGAACTGGTACTATTTCAGCTTTAATCCAGACTCGCATTGTTGCATCCCAGCACCCAGCAAGGCCTCTCCCTGCTGCTCTGAGCATGGGACAGGCTGACGAAGGGTGTACGGGTGCAGCTCTCCTGGGCAGGTGTGTGCAAGCACAAGCCAGAGGAGCTCCCCCATGGAGGAAGCGTCACCCAGTTATCCACATCCCTCCATTCCGTGCATGGACATGGCCCCCGCTTTTCAAATAAGCACTGTGCAGGCTGAGCCTTCAAGCTCAGCTAGAGTCACAATGACTGGGGGAGCTCTGTCTCCAGTCTGTGTGGGGCCATCCAGGTAAGCACCCCCAAATCTGCATGGGGGGCCACAGCTCTCCCTGGTGGGAAGTGGGGGCTGCTGCTGCTCTTGCCCTTCCCCTTCCTCCCACTGTGCCCAGGCTGCTGAGTCCAGTTCAAAGATGTTGATGAAGCAGGGCCACACAAGTGCGGTTTCTCTTGCAGGGCCTTTGTGTGGGTGTCCCTGGCCTGGCAACAGCAGTGACCCTATAAGATTGACTTCGCCTGAGCCTTGGTCCTTGTGGCCCCAGCTGCGTGACTCTCTGCACAGCTCCCATCCAGTGCCTTGGGTGCCCTCTTGAGCATGTGCTCTGAGAACGGTGCCCGAAGTTCCTCCCAGTCCCTTTGGCACATGTGCACCCAGGAGTGTGGAAACCAGTTCTTGCACAGGCCACGCATGGCTGAGACATTGTGCCCCTCTCTGGGGCCACAGGGCCAGCGTCTGGACTTTGCTGCTCAGCTCAGGGAGTGCAGCTCGGCTCTGTGGCTCAGTGTGTAAGGGATCATCTTCCAGTGGGGTCAGCTTGCTGGCCTCTAAGCTAGAGTGACATGTGAGAGGTCGCTCTGCTCTGGGAGTGGAGGCTGCCAGTGGCCATCTGGATCTTAAATGGGGTACCAGCACAGGAGCCACAGCACTGGCTAGATGGTTGCTTCATGCCAAGGGAAGCCAGAGGGCAGTGCTGGTCATGACCCTGGGCCAGTCTCCACACTGGGTCCCTCCCTGGGCTCTGCCTACCTTCGGTGAGAAGCGTAGTTGCCAGTGATATGTCCAGAACCGTCACAGCCAGGGGTGGGACACCTACGATGACAAAAACAAGTTGGGCATTTACTGGCAAGAAACAAAATCCTCCAAACCATTACTGTTGCATTTGTCAAGAACGCAGACTCCCTCAGTTGCTTCCACCACTTTGTGGAGGAGGCGGAAGTGAGCTGGGCCAGGCCACTGACCCATACCTCCAACTGCCTATCCTCCCAGGCGCAGGGGCCTTGTCCAGAGGAGATTGTCCCAGGTCACTAGGCTGTCTCTCCTGGCCAGTGCCTTCCCTGCCACTCACCCAAATCCAGTGGGGCCCAGGAGCGCAGCACCCACTCACAGCACTGCCCACGCCAAGCCAGAGCACTAGGTGGACATGTGGCCTGGGGCCACCGAACATCTGGTGTGCTGAACTGACCACAATCCATGGTGGTCTCGCAGCTTGAGTTAGCAGAGATGTCCAGAACAGACCCAACTGCTTCACGGCTTGGGCCCAGGGTCCTGGGGTGGCATCGCCACGTCTGTCTTAGCTGATAGCTCCTTACAGGCACCACCTCAAGGACTCCAGGACCACAGACACCTGTACTCCCAGCTTTCTCAGAGACATCAGTTTCCACCACGGACACACACACTGATGACAGTGACTCAAAGCACCTCATTCTCGCCACTACATGTGTGGGTTGCAAGGACTCATGTCTCCCGAGCATCTCAAGGGCCCATTAGGGGTCCAGTTCTGAGCTGCTCCCCAGTCACTGAATCCTCTGGATGCACAAACATCCTGTTTACAAAATCTAGCAAACGTATCTCCTGCTGACAGATTTCAATTTGCTTCCCACTCAGGACCCTGGGAACAGAGACCAGGGCCCCCCCTCTATCTGTGGGCAGATGGGCTTTCTCAGGAGCCGATGTAAATGGAGAAACGCGTGTGCCTGGGTGACTGAACATGAATGCCATGTTCTGGCACCTGGCTTTGTAAATGATTTGCAGCTAGCTCCCCTTTAGTATTATAGATCTTAGGATGCAGAGGTCTATATTTCCATGAGGCTACTGTGGGATTGTGCAGAATGAGCGGGTAGCGGAGAAGCTGGGCCACAGGGCTGGACAACCCGGGGCCACTAGCCAAGCAGTGAGGGAGTTAGCGTGGAATCTGTCTGTGCTCCCAGAGCCACATTGGTATTTAATTCTTGTTAAGGTTACAAAGTGACCACAGGGCTGCTCAGTCAGCTACTAGTCAGCATTCCTAGGTGGTCACACAGTGGCTGGACAGGCGGACCCCACGTGTGGCCCCCACCCTGGGACTCCTCTGGAGGAGAGCCTGTGAAAGTGCATACGCCCTTTGTGCTGGTCTCTGTGCATGTTTCAGTTCTGAATATCTATTGAGAACTCATTGCATCCGCCTGCCAACTGCCCAAACAGTATTCCTTTGTACAAGAAAGGGAGATTCTTAAGTTCTTCCTAGTACAGTTTATTTAAGATGCACCCTCTAATACAAGTAAATCTTACTTATGTGTCTTGGTGGAGGGGAGGAAGTAATTCTGTTCAAGTTCAAGGTGCAACATTATAACAAAAACAATGCAACCAAGATCAGACTTTAGTACCCAACACCAATTTTGGCAGCAAGTGTTAAGTACTGTGTAATCCATCATCTGATAAGGAAACAGGGGTTCCAGTGCCCCTTTTGCTATGAAAGCAAACAAAAACATTTCCAGGAATCCCCGGAGAAGGGCCATTCCTCCTTCCAGGTTTGCTCTGCTTTTACCTTCAGGGTTCGTGGGGTGGGAAAGGTGGAGAGGGTGGTGGGCAAGCACTGCCTCACAGGGTGCTGCTGCCTGTGGGTGGGGGACTCTGAGCTGCTGAGCCTGAGGCCACCAGGGATGGGGTTGGAGCTCAGAGGCATGGTTATGCACACACTGCTGCCACCTCGTATCAGTGTCCAGGTGTGGGACAGGGCCAGCCCAGACAGGAACTGTGGCCCCAGGCTGGCTATTTTCAGGGGCACTCAGATCTGCAGGAGGTCTTCTGTGGCCATCAGCACCTCCTCCTCCGTGCACTCCGCCCACTGATTTTCGTGGTTGATTGAGGCTTGCAGGCCCTAGAGAGTCTTTAAATTTGCATACAGATTCCTTCAGAATTTTCAGAAGCCACTGACCCATGGGCCTCACAAAGGGACTCTGCTTCTCAGGCAGCCCGACCCGAGGATGCCTATCCTGGGAGGGGCAGGGAAGAAGCTCAGAGCACATCTTTTCTGGAAAGCGATGTCTGTGTAGGACACTCAGAGGGCTTGCCCTTGGTCACTCCGTGCCCTGGGGCAATCCAGGCTAGCAGTCACAGGTGCAGGGCCTCTGGGCAGCCGGAGGCTGAAGGAACATCTCCATGGGGGCCAAGTTAATGACCTACAGGGCTGGGTCCTGCTCCTGTAGGAGAGTCCTGCTCCTGTGGGTGGGTCCTGTTCCTTGCTCTCTCTTAGCTCTTGTCTGACTTGAGACTGAGCAATAGTAACAGTAAATGATTTTTGATCATATTTATCTGGCTGAAAAAAATGTTGTCTTACATACCTAATAATGGTGATAGAGAAATCGTAATGAAAGGGGTTGAGATTCGGCCTAGGGTTGCCTATCCCAGCACACAGCCCTGGCCCCACAGATCCACACTCATGCTCACACACCCCCTGGAAACGAGTTGGTGGGCGCTCTCGTCCATGGATCCCTGGCATGGCCTCTCACGTGGAGGACCTGGGTGGCCTCAGCTAACCTCGCCCTGGCTCTCGGAGGCATTTGGGCAGTAACTGAACAGGAGCGCTTATCTCTCTGCCTTGTCCTAAATGAACACGTTTCAGATGCTGGGAATGGTTTCTGAGTTAGTGGTGACCTGCAAAGCCCTTGCCTTGGGGACTGCCAAGCTCCAGGGTCTAACAGGCACCTCTTCTCACTGACATCAAAGGATCGCTCCCACTGGAGCCACACCCTAGGAGACAGCAGCTGCGTCCTCCAGCGCCAGCAAGGAGTCCAACAGCTCTACAGAAAGCCGCAGGTGTGTGCTGGCACGCCCCAGCCCACTTGCTCCTCTGCTGTCCCTGCTTGTTCCTTAGCAGGGGACCTCCCCCAGGACTGCCTTCTCTGCTGTCCACAGCTCTGGACAGGTGGCAGCAGTGCTGGGGACAGCTTGTCTACAGACAGAAGCTGCGTGGTCGCTCAGCTACTTGCAAGGTCTGGAAAGAGCTTTCTGTTCTAGCTTCCCATCCTCCCTCCTTCGGGAAGGCCCATCAGATGTTCTATGTTAAGCAAGAAAGACACTTTCAAAAGGACATGTTCTTAACCACAGGAGTGCCTGAGTTATCCAAGGCTGGCAGGGGGCCCACTGGCTCAGGCATCCCTCAGGCAGAGCCCAACGCCCACCCAGCATCCTTAACCTTTGTCCTGTGTGGCCTCTGCTGCACTTCGCATGGGGTCACCCTGAGCCTCCTTACCCCCCTAAAGCCTGAGTGCACAGGCACCTCCAGGCCTGGGGGCTGTGAGCCTGTGGTCCAGCAGCCTATTCCAGACCTGACTTGCAGGGAGTGTCCTGAAAGCACCTGGGCTCTTCCATTTGCTTGATTAGTTCCGTCAGTGGAGGCTGAGGGTTCCAGCAGGCTGTGGCTAAGACAGCACAGTCTGAGGGGCAGCCCTCTGCAACTCTGCTTCATGGCCGCTCCACCAGGAGGGCTAAGCTAGCACAACTCCACATACGGAAAAGGTGATTTTTAATGCCATAGACTGTGAAGTCAGCCCTCGGTTAGGCCGGCAACAGTCTATCTGTAGCATCCTTTCTTCTGAGTCTTGTCTAGAACCTGTGCCATTTTGCAGCTGCACTATGGCCTTTTAGTTATTAAGCTCTAAGTACTTTTAACACTAATGTATATTAAACGTATGTGATTTCCAAATAAATAAAATATTAAAAAATCATCACACAGAAATGACTGCAGCCACATACCAGCCTCTACCCCACTGGCATGGAAACTTCACTCAGAAAACTTTTTTGATCTCAATAGAGCTGGTTTCAAACATGTATTTGGTTGTTTTGCTCTGTCAATGGCAAACAATTAAAAAATGCATGGAAATGCAAAATTAATGCATCTTCTCCCAGCCTAATGAAGTTAGCGGCTCAGAACTGACGTCTGTCTCTCCGCTCCAAATTCTAGAGGAGATCCTGGAACCTGACGGTCTCCTCTGACTGGGACGTTCAGCATGGTGTTTGCTTTTCAGAGCTGGACCATGTGAGCAGGGGCTTCTCCTTAGGGACTCACTGGTGCAGCTCCTTAGCCCTACAGCTCACCCTGCACCCATCTCCCTCTCTCTGGAGGGAATCTGAGGAGCCTCCCTGCCCTCCTGTCCGCCAAGGACCCTCCTGCCCTCCTTTCCTTAATTCCCTTCCCGCCCTCCTGTCCCTCTGGGTCTTTCCTGCCCTCCTGTCCACCACTCAGGTCCTTCCTGTCTTCCTGTCCCCCCAAGCCCTGCTGTCCTCTTGCCCTCCTGTCTTCCCCGTCTCCCTACTCCCCAGGCCCCCCGTTCTGAGCCCCTTCCTGCTATCCCCCGAGCACCTCCCAGCCCTCCTGTCCCCCGAGCCCCTCCTGCCCTCCTGTCTCCCGAACCCCTCCTGCCCTCCGAGCCCCTCCTGCCCTCCTGAGCCCCTCCTGCCCTCCTGTCCTCCAAGCCCCTTCTGCCCTCCTGCCCTCCTGAGCCCCTCCCTGCCCTCCTGTCCCCCAAGCCCCTCCTGCCCTCCTATCTCCTGAGTCCCTCCTGCCTTCCTGTCCCCCGAGCCCCTCCTGCCCTCCTGAGCCCCTCCTGCCCTCCTGTCCTCCGAGCCCCTCCTGCCCTCCTGTCTCCTGAGTCCCTCCTGCCCTCCTGTCCCCTGAGCCCCTCCTGCCCTCCTGTCTCCTGAGTCCCTCCTGCCTTCCTGTCCCCCGAGCCCCTCCTGCCCTCCTGTCTCCTGAGCCCCTCCCTGCCCTCCTGTCCCCCGAGCCCCTCCTGCCCTCCTGAGCCCCTCCTGCCCTCCTGTCCCCTGAGCCC